AACACCTGACCCTAAACTAAAACTACGAGCATCAAACAGAGCTGAAATCAAGACGTATGGCAAAAGGCAGTTACAATTACATTTCGGTCCTAAATCCAATTTTCCATGGAGCTTCATTGTAGCTGACGTCTTCGTTCTTATGATCGGCATTGATTTTCTGCAATTCCATAAAATACTGGTAGACGTTAGAAATCAGAAATTTGTCCTTGCCGATCATAGAAGTGAAATTGGAGGAATTATATCTAATGAGACGTCCATACATTTATTAATCAAACCTCATCACCAGAATGACAAATACATCAATGTACTTGATCTGTTTCCGGACTTATTACGACCGAGTTTCAAACGTGGCGAACCGACACATACCATCGCACATCAAATAAAGACAGAGGGACCACCAGTGTTCACACGCCCAAGACGCCCTGACCTCTTTCGTGTGACTCTCGCAAAGAATGAATTCAATAAAATGATAGAGTTGGGTATCACACGTCCCTCCGATAGTCCGTGGGCATCACCGCCGCATATGGTACTCAAAAAAACTCTCCCGAAATTAGACCTTGCGACGACTATAGAGCTCTCAACAGCCGGACTATACCAGATAGATATCCACTTCCACATTTACATGACTTTACTCATAGTCTATCTGATGTGACGATTTTTTCAAAAGTTGATCTCGTCCGTGCTTACCATCACATGCCATTTCACCCGGACGATGTTTCCAAAACAGCCATTACTACCCCATTAGGACTATACGCATTTGTTCGCATGCCTTTCGGATTAAGGAATGCTGCATAAAGTTTCCAGCGTTTTACGACCAAGTGGTATGTGGCTTACCGTTTGTATACGCTTACCTAGATGACCTACTTATCGCAAGCAAAGACGAAAATAAACATCTAACTCATCTGAAAATGCTCTTTGAGAAGCTAAACGAGTATTGGTTAGCAGTCAATCCTGACAAATGTGAGTTTGGGAAGCGAACCCTCACCTTTTTAGGTCACGTACTTGATAATCAAGGCATCAAACCATTTCCTGAGGAAACACAAGCCATCAAAAATTATCCTTTACCAGATTCATTCAAGAAACTACGACGTTTCCTTGGGATGATCAACTTTTACAGACGTTTTATTCCGAAATGTGCAGACATAGCAAAACCGCTAACTGATTTATTAAGGGGACGAGCTAAATCATTAACAATGACACCGTAAGCAATTCAAGCATTCGAACAGTTAAAAAGCACCTTAAGCACCGAGGCATTACTAGTACGTCGAAAGGTTGATGCACCTTTAGCAGTAATGACCGATGCCTCTAATGTAGCAGTAGGCGCTGTGCTTCAACAACATGTCGATCAACAATGGCAACCCCTTGCATTTTTCTCAAAAAAGCTAAACGCAACGCAAACAAAATATAGCACATTCGGTAGAGAATTGTTAGCTGTCTACCTAGCCATCAAACACTTTCGGTATATGTTAGAAGGCAATCCTTTTACGATATATACTGATCACGAACCTTTAACTAAGTCCTTGATGCACAATCATGATAAATATAGTCCCCGCGTAATTCGTCAACTAGAATACATTTCGCAATTTGCAGCTGATATACGCTATATACAAGACAACGAAAATGATGCAGCAGATGGACTATCGAGATTAAATATCAATACTTTCTTGATCCCTGATATAAACTATCAAAACATGGCAAAACATCAAAAGCTCGATAGGGAGCTACAAAAACTTTTGCAGTCTAAGGAAACGGGATTAATATTCCAAAACATCCCCATAAACAACAAGGACACCTTAACTTGTGATACCTCGACAGGTAAAACTCGCCCCTTTGTACCCAATGATATGAGACGAAACATTTTTGAGAAATTACGCAACATATCTCATCCAAGTATAAAAGCCACTGTAAAGCTTATCACAGATAGGTTTGTATGGCCAAACATAAACCAAGATGTGCGAAAATGGTCACGGGAATGCACCCAGTGTCATAAGTCAAAAGTACATAGACATGTCATATCTCCTACAGGAATTTTTCCCCTCGCCAGCGCTAGGTTCGACCACATTCATATTGCCATCGTTGGACCGTTACAAATTTCTAATGGTTACACGCATATACTAACATGCATAGATAGATTCATGAGATAACCCATAGCCGTCCCCTTAAAAAACACGTCGGCATCAACAGTGGCGAAGAAACTAGTGAAACACTGGATTACAAACTTCAGTGTCCCTACAATACTTACGACCGACCATGGAGCTCAGTTTGAAAGCAAATTATTTCAGCAACTTACGGATACTTTCGGTATAAAGAGAATTGGGACCACTGCTTATCATCCGACTGCAAATGGAATGATAGAAAGGTTCCACAGACAGTTAAAAGCCACTTTGACGGCCGCAGGAGGAGATTACAAATGGGATGTCAAGCTTCCTTTGCTACTATTAGACATTAACTCAACTATCAAACAAGACATTGGTTGTTGTGCCGCTGAGTTGGTTTATGGAACAACGTTACGTTTGCCTGGTGAATTTTTTGACCGTGCAACAGATATTCCAGCAGATATAACCAACTACGTGCAACAATTAAAACAGTAGATGGAATCCATTAGGTCCGTTGAACCACGAACCCAAAAGGTGAGGTCATTCGTAACCAATGAACTAGACAAATGCTCATATATATTAGTCAGAAATGATAGAGTACGACAGCCGTTACAGACAAATGTGTTATTTATCTGCTCACTGTAATTTAAACACTTAATCCACTATGTCATTTTTTGTGTGAATCTAATTGAGCACATTTTTGCACATCAGTTTCCGATCTATTCTCCCATTGGTTATAATACACAGACGATCAATAATTTATCCACGCTTGATTAACACTCACAAATATATATATATGGATTTTTAACACTCTCACACACACTCTTGGTTTCCCTGTGTGCTTGCTTCCTGTACGCTTGAAGATTTGACCAATCTTTAATAATAAACTATCGTTATAACTGATGTTCAGGCTTTTGAATAAATCTCGAGTAAATCCATAATTCTACTAGGAGATTTAGCCTGCATTAAACACTCAGTTAATGGGATACTATTTATTGGAGTCAGATATAGATAAAATTTTGCGTAGACAACTGTTAATAGGTACTTGTATCTTCTGGATAATGGCTTTCGTAGTTTTCCAGGTTTCCGCCCCATACAGTAGAACTGTCTTAACATTTGTTTTGAAAATTCTGATTCTGGTGTTGGTTGCCAATTGTTTTGAGTTCCAGATGTTCTTCAGTTGTAAATATGCTGCTCTTGCTTTGCCAATCCGTGCCTTCACATCTGCATCAGATCCACCGTGTTCATCGATGATGCTGCCCAAATATGTAGAGGTCTGTACATCTTCCAAATCCTCTCCGTCAATTGTGATTGGATCGGCGCATGCTGTGTTGTACCGGAGAATCTTGCTTTTCCCTTTGCTGCTGAGGCTGCTGCTACACTGGTTGTCTTCTCTTGCATTTTTTGTTGCGTTTGCGATAGAAGAGCCAGATCACCTGCGAAGTCTAGATCATCCAATTGCATCCTAGATGTCCACTGTATCTCGTGTTTCCCTTCAGATGTTGACGTCTTCATGATCCAGTCGATCACCAGGTGAAAAAGAGAGAGAGTGTGAGAGTAAGCAACGTTGTCTGACACCCGTCTTTACTTCGAACGACTTTGTCAACTGTCCTGCATGAACGATTTTGCAGTTTAATCCATCATAAGAATTCCGTATGATATTGACTATCTTCTTAGGCACTCCGTAGTGTCAAATAAGCTTTCATAATGTTGTTCTGTCTACGCTGTCAAATGTTTTTTCATAGTCAATGAAGTTGATGTAGAGCGAGGAATTCCATTCAATTGATTGTTCCACAATGATCCATAGAATTGCGATTTGGTCTGTACACGATCTATCCTTACGGAATCCTGCCTGTTGGTCACGAAGTTTGGCGTCTACGGAATCCTTCATCCTGTTTAACAATACCCTGTTGGAGAGTTTTCCTGGTATTGAGAGAAGAGTGATTCCCCTGTAGTTATCACAGTTGCTGAGATTGCCTTTCTTTGATATTTTGAGCAGAGTCCTTCTTTCCAGTCTGCTGGTACTTGTTCCTCATCCCAAATCTTTCTGAAGAGAATGTGGAGTATCTTTGCAAAGCGAATAATTAACAAGGTCAAAATATAACTCAACTAGAATGAATAGATTGACCTGTCCAAAAGCTAGAATAAGGCATATGGGCTTAACATAATAACCGACACCACAAATTCTTCTTTTATTGGTATTCAAAATAATTGATTGTATTGACGAACTCTAAAACTGATTACACTATAGTTCATTTAACGAAAAATAATAATCAACAAGCTAGTGTTGAGGTGATATCTGAAGGTGATTGAGTTGGACCCAAATGCCCTGGTACGACCAAGAGTGGAGAGATTCAGCTCTCCCTCTCTCCAAATACACTCATATGACCACGTGCATATAACCACTGCCACAGAAGTCCTACTTACTACCTTCTCAAGCAATTACTGTTGTTTACGAAGTTGACAGGACGAAAAGCGAATGTTCACTGCTTTAACCGGATCAGTGGACACGGAGAGTTCATCTAGGGGAGTTGGAAAACCCTCATTTCAAACTAATCATGTACATGAGTTGGCTCCAATATCCTGAAGAAACAAATGGCATATGAACCAATTATTGTTGACCGGTGACCATGAGTCTGTATCTACTGACGTTGCTCCATTGCATTGTGGATCAGACCTTTAGGTCGAATACTCCGGATGACCTCTTAAGAAAACCACCTACTTCGGTTTGAACACTAGTGTACTATCCCAACATTCACACAAATCGAATGATTTATGTGGTACATATGTATTTGCTACCTCCTTGTACCAATGTTATGTGTTTAAATAAACAAATAAATCAGGAATAACTGTCTTGGGTTGAATTCTATTCTTACATAGGTAATACAACACTAATTTGTGATTGGTTAAGCCATTAAGACATGTCTTTATTTTTAACGAATATTATTCTGTTAGTGTGCAATATTGTACTAGTTGTGTAGCGATTTGTGTTTGGAATTCGATTACATTTTCTTTAGATTCCTTATTGGTTCATATTGTTATTATTATCCCTATTCATTTTACATTAAAATAAAATCGATATTGTTACAGATACAAATCTATTTTACATTGAGATAACTAATATTAACACATTCTGCCTCAAACACTGTAACAAGGTATACCATATTTTTATTCTGCAGTAATAATAATAATAATAATAATATTAATTACCATGGCAACAAAGTATAACATGTCTATTCAATTATTTTTACTTTTTGTCAATATAATCTTCATTCATATCTCTCAATGCAGTGAATTTGATAATTATAATTATGAACCATTCAAACATTTAAAATATTCAACTGTAATGAAAACTATAGAAAATGAATGTGAAAAATGTGATCGTAAAAAATGTTCACCTATTATACAATGTAATGTTGGTACAGTACGTGATAAATGTGGATGTTGTGATATTTGTGCTTTAGAAGAATCTCAATTATGTAATATACCTGAAGATTTTATAAACGGTATTATAAAACCAGGTATTACATGGCATGGAATATGTGGTACAGATTTAGAATGTCGTACACGTACAGATATTGATTCAAAGATAATTGGATCACAAAGTATATGTTATTGTGTTAAATCTGGTAAAGTATGCGGTTCTAATGGTGTAACGTATTCAAAGTGTAAAATGAATGCAATAATCATTTCATCGAATGGTACAATTATTCCAATTAGTGAAGGACCCTGTCAAACTGGCAAGTTATTTTTTTTCTAAAGGTTTATAGGGGATTATACCTAAAAGATGCTTCTTTGATTGAACTAACTTAATAGTATACAATCTCATTCTTTCTACTATTTATTCTAAAATGTATAATTATCATAAAGGTTTTGCTTATTTTGTGATAACAATTTTGGATCTGATATTATAAACTCAACTTATCAATGACTATCTGTACTGTTTTATTACAATACGAGTAGGAGTCCTGGTAAACAGGTTTTTCTTAGTCTACAATTTTGTCCTGTAAGATGTAACTCACAACTTGAGAAAAACATGAAATCTAATGGTTACACGCATATACTAACATGCATAGATAGATTCATGAGATAACCCATAGCCGTCCCCTTAAAAAACATGTTGGCATCAACAGTGGCGAAGAAACTAGTGAAACACTGGATTACAAACTTCAGTGTCCCTACAATACTTACGACCGACCATGGAGCTCAGTTTGAAAGCAAATTATTTCAGCAACTTACGAATACTTTCGGTATAAAGAGAATTAGGACCACTGCTTATCATCCGACTGCAAATGGAATGATAGAAAGGTTCCACAGACAGTTAAAAGCCTCTTTGACGGCCGCAGGAGGAGATTACAAATGGGATGTCAAGCTTCCTTTGCTACTATTAGACATTAACTCAACTTATCAATGACTATCTGTACTGTTTTACTACAACACGAGTAGGAGTCCTGGTAAACAGGTTTTTCTTAGTCTACAACTTTGTCCTGTAAGATGTAACTCACAACTTGAGAAAAACATGAAATCTAATAGCTTCAGCTTTTGAGATTAATATAGTGTAATATGAGTACTGGTTCAGATTTTAGTATTTTAATCTATTTGTGACATTGTTTAGATAAACTTAAATATTAATCCACTGATATTTGCTTCATGTATAACTTCATTAATTAGACAGTATATCATTTAAACACTAAGATATTAATCTTTCACTAAGTTACAAGTTATTTCATTAGCTGATAGATTAACTAGAATAAGGCCTAGTTTCTATCCAAAAACAAGAATATAAAATCTCGACATAACGTAATTTTGATTGAAGTTTCCTGTGTTCTTTTTATTTATTTTTTTAAACACATAACATTGGTACAAGGAGGCAGTAAATACAGATGTACCACATAAATCATTCGATTTGTGTGAATGTTGGGATAGTACACTAGTGCCCAAACCGAAGTAGGTGGATTTCTTAAGAGGTCACCCGGAGCATTCGACCTAAAGGTCTGATCCACAATGCAATGGAGCAACGTCAGTAGATGCAGACTCATGGTCACCGGTCAACAATAATTGATTCATATGCCATTTGTTTCTTCAGGATACTGGAGCCAACTCATGTACATGATTAGTTTGAAATGAGGGTTTTCCAACTCCCCTAGATAGACTCTCCGTGTCCACTGATCCGGTTAAAGCAGTGAACATTCGCTTTTCGTCCTGTCAACTTCGTAAACAACAGTAATTGTTTGAGAAGGCAGTGAGTAGGACTTCTGTGGCAGTGGTTATATGCACGTGGCCATATGAGTGTATTTGGAGAGAGGGAGAGTTGACTCTCTCCACTCTTGGTTGTACCAGGGCATTTAGCGGCTTAAATTTATAAATTCCCTCAAATGAATTTGTGACAACAGTTCTCAGTAGAAATTGTTACAATAAAATGTGTTATTTGTTAATGTTTGCACAGGGTTAGAAGAATCATTTTGAAGTTTGATGAATCCGATTATTTTATTTATATGGTAAATAGGAATTATTTTCCGAAATGTTTGTCATGTCATTCATGCTCGTCAGAAGTAGCTTACAAGTTTTGAGAAGTATATTTTCAGTTTAAATCAGCTTGGTGTTGTTTTACTTGTATCTTCCCACATATGTCAACAAGTGACTGATCAATTGCATTCCTAAATAACAATGGGAAGATACAAGTAAAACAATGCCAATTGAATTTAAGCTTCACGCCATTTCACAAGCATGTGGTTATCAGGACTCATTAGCTAAGTGGATAATGTGATGGCGTTTGAAGAGAACGGTACTGGGTTCCAGCTCTAGAGGTGAACATCAATTTTGAGATGCAGGTACATTCAGTTGATATGTCACAAATAGGACGAAACGCGCGTCTTGGATTCCACTGTTAGCCGCTATCTTTGCTTAAAAACATATTCTCAGTGTTTGATATTTTTCATTATCATTGCTACTACATTATTTTGTCTCCCTTACTGTACGTCTTGTTAATTTCATTTAGTCATCATAATTTGATATATGAATTTATGCTAGTGGACATTTGTGTCAGGCTTTACATTGGAATAGAATGGCTTATACTTGGATTTCGTTAGTTTTGTACGATTAGTTGTAAGAAAGCACTATTCAAAACATTATTTTATAGAGTAGAAAAGACATAAACTATTTGTGAATCGGAATACTTGACAAACATTGAAAAGTTTTAATAAACAGATATTAAATATAAAGATCCACTGATAAATATATAAAAGCTGAGAAAAAGCCGGTTATATATTTCAAGAGCAATCATTCATACTATCTACTTGGAGTCAGATCACAAGTCACTAATGTGGTAAGCCCATCGACAACATCGTTCTATCTAATTAACGTCTAAATGAAGGGTCCCACTAAAGTGGTGAGTCCGACCTGATTCGAACACTCAGACTTTTGATCTGGAGTTAGATATAGAGCCACTAAATACTTATTCTTTAGTTAATCTAGAACAAGCAGATGAAAATTTAACAAGTTCATTGTATCTCTGAAAAAACGGTTAATTTTAAACATTTTGTTCTAGTTATTACTTTCTGATTACGTTGTAGAAAATGGGTAAACCTTAAAAATATTATTAAGTTTTATAATCAAAGATGGATAGTAGCTAGCAATCAAATCCAGTTTGATATGCGTTCCGTCCTATTTGAGACGCGTTAGCTGGACATACCTGCATTTCAGAGTTGATGTTCACTCTGGGAGTCGAACCCAGCACCGTTCGTTTCAAACTCCATTACGTTATCCACTCAGTTACTGAGTCCTGATAGTTACTTGCTAGTGAAGGTTTGTTATTTTGGTTAATTTTTTGTATGATCTTTTCTCAAAGTTTGTATTATTTATTTACTTTGTAATTAATTCCTACTATTTTTTTTCTTACCTCAAGCACCTTTGGTCAAAGTAACTGTATTAAATCAAACTGTTGTTGAAGGTACAAATGTTACATTGATTTGTGAAGCACGTGGTTATCCACTTCCAACCATTACTTGGTATTTTAATAAACCAAATCAAAAACAGGATAAAATTCAAATGCCAGGTTTGTAATCGTAATTGTTATGACTTTTATTATTTTTCTTTTCGTTTAGCTAAATTCTTTATACATTTAAAAATGCTTTAATATTGATGATATCATAGTGTGGTTTGTGCTACTTTTATCGATATAAGTAATATATATGGTGATTCAGGAATAGTATCTGTTAGAAGAGGATTGAAAATATCGAGAAGGGAAGAACGGGAACAGAAAGCAATCGGTATGGAAATACAGAAACAATGAAGTCTGAGATGATTCATGAACATTTTGCAAATGAATTATTAGAGTATGGCTTTTCTGATTTATTAAGTAGCTCTGTTATGTTGTGCTAAACATAATGGGGGGAAGGTTGCTTTAGAAGAAGATTTCTACCTGAAGTTTGTGGTAATGATATTTTTTTATCAGAAGAACGATGAAAGCTCCACGATTAAACCATCCAGCTCAGAAAACAAAACTCCACCAAAATCATCCTCCTGAGCTACAAATCTTCTCCACCATCTCAAATTCTTTTATAGTATCATTATTATTAGCAGTTTCGTACTCATAAACTAAAGTTTCACTATAAAAGTTTCATTTCCAAAAATGATGACAAACATTAGATTCAGTTGAATCCCTTAAGAATCTTTTAAAACGTATTACAAAATGTTCTGCAATTTTGAAGTAACGCTCTTTATCTTACTATATTGGATATCTAAGATCTACTTTCTGGAGTTAGTTGCCTCCGTAACTATTTCTTGCCATTGAGATTTTGTTCTTCAAGAATGAATGAATGTCAGGAGAAAATTATGCTGAAATTTGTGAACTAAATTGGAAGTAATACAACAAACTTACTTTTTATTTTAGCAAATGTGGTTTTAAATACAAAAAAACATCAATAAACTATTTTAGTAACAAATTGTTTATTCCATAGTCACTTCGTCAATTATTGGTGTAAACCGTTGTTAACGGGACGTAGATTGGATTAAAGCATGTTCGTGCAAGCTAATTGACTGTTTCTTATCCAATCAGCGCTAGTCGATACTTGGAGAAGACTCTGAAATCTTCTCATGTAAAAACTATAAATATACTCTTATTATGCTTCTTACTTGCATCTACACATGTTTTTCGGAATATGATTTCGTTCTTGTCCAACCGTGTTGTGATTTTAGTCAGTCAGTCAGCTACAGAGCAGGATCAGGCACGTATGTGCATCGGTTCAAGTTGCCATACCTCATTAACACAACAAGATGAACGCCGGATTCATACGAGTAGTTAATTCAGTGGTGGTAATATATAAACAAAAAATTGTGTATAAGGACATAGTACAGGAATAAAGAATTAGTTCGTAGAAAGAAAGATGTGCAGAAATTTTAGTCTCATAATTTAAAGGAAGACAAAGAGTGTATACACCTACACCATTGTGACCGATTCTGAGCCATATCACCCACAGACTCCAACAATGGGTTACGATAGTCATTTGGACCCTAACCAAGTAGTCTAGTGAATTGGTGTCCAAGAATACTACTAAGCAATAGGAATAGATAGGTCGTGATAAAATAGAGAATTATGACAACCATTTTCATAAAAAACATAAACACTAATAGCTGAAGATACTTTTCGTTATCTAGTCAAATCTAACAAGTTAATGGAGTATGTTTCGGGTAATAAATGTTATAAGAATAAACAGTTCGATGATTGGATCTATAATAATGAAGATGTTATTCTCTTGATCATGTCATTATGAGTACAACTAATACAGAAGCTAGTCTAAAACTTCATTAAGCATGAATAAATTGCAGGAAGTTGGGATACCATCAAGAATTATCATAGTTTTGTTCTTATTGAATGCAACTAAGACTATCTTAACCAGTCTGACGTAATCTTTTATTACTTATGAAAGGAGTTATAAGTCTGTTATTTTCTAAAAAGTTCTGAAGAATTAATACAAATGTGGGAAATAAATACCTTACTCATTGAAATAGTCGCACAAATAACAACTTGCTTGTTTCTTGACTACCGCAATTACATAACGTGAAATATAAAAAAGCATAAATATCCAAATCCACTTGGTGGTGTTTACTTTTATCTTACATTGTTATTTAGGACTGCAATTGATCAGTCTCCTGTTGACATATGGGCATCTTATGAAAATTGCCTCGATATTGCCTTAAGTTACAAGCTTTATAAGGACACAGTAGCTGAGTGGATATCTCGATAGCGTTTGAAGCGAACAGCACTGGGTTCGAGTTCCAGAGTGAACATTAACTCTGAGGATGCAGGTACATCCAACTGACAAGTCCTAAATAGGACGAAACAAGCGTCAAACTGGATTCCACTGAAACCCACCATCTATCTTTTCATATAAGTATCTATAATTTTATTTAACAATGTAGTCTTTATATTTATCATTGTATTATTATTTCATTTTTATATTTAAAGGTAATTACAAAGATTTTACTGTTAGTGTTCGTGCAGGAACTGAAGAAACACACACTATATCTTATTTACAAATAACAAATTTCATCTTAGAATATGAAGGTGAATACGTATGTATGGCTGATAATATTGTTGGAATTAAAGCACAAGGTACATCACTTGTTAGAAATGGTGTATCATCAATATTTCCATCTTCATTACATAATGATAATGAAGCAAGACATTAATAAAACTAAAGTTTGGTACAAATATTTTTTACAAAAAAAAAAAAAAAAACAACCCCCCACCTTAACTACTATTTACACAAATAAAGGAATATTGATTTAATCTTATTTATAAACTACATTCTAGTTATCCATCCAATATTTATCTGTTTCTTTATGCATGTTCAATAATCAATTGTTTTATTCATTAAAACAAAACGATTAGTTTACTTTCTTTCTTTTTAAATTGACATTGACAAATCAAGTCCATGACAAATATAACTCTGATTAATAATTAGTTCTTTATAACTAGTTTTTTTTTATTGATCTATTGAGTTACCTATTGACTGAATAATTGACCTTATCTCTGTACTGATCATAGTATGGTGTAAGCTACTTATATCTATATAACAATAGTCAAGAATAGAATGTATTTTAGTAGAAGATCAAAAAGGAAAGAACGAAAACAGAAATCAATTTGTATGAAAATGTAGTAACAATGGAATCGAAAACGATGGATTGATATTTGCAAAAGAAACAGTTAAGTTTTAGATAAATGATAGATATTTTACAAATCGAGTATTTACTGTATGGTTCCCAGATTTTAGTGTGTTTGTTTGTCGAGTTACGTGTTCACTGAATCGTTCATCATACCTCTTTACCGATCATAGTTCTTCAAACATGAAATGGTGGGAGATGCAACCAAAACAAAGAAGTAGACAATGACAGGTTTAAGGTCAACAAGAATCAATCAACACTGAGGTCTACAAGACAAGCTGTGTACCACATGTGGAGAGATTTGAACGCTTCATTTCTATCTGAATTTTATGCTGACGATGTCGTTCAGAAGAACGATGAAAGATCCACGACCGAACCAGAGAATAAAACTCCATAGGAAACGACATTTGATAACAACCTGACCGAAAAGAATTGAGAATTACCACTCAACTTCTATTACACAATTTTTTATTGATCCTGCTCATAGCTTGACAAAATTTTCACATGAAATTCATGAGTTGTAGCGAGTGACAATAGCAAGATAAATAAAGAACCATGAGTGGTATAGACTTAAAGTTATCATAATCAAGAAATTCTATTTTGAAATCAAGGTTAATAAGACTGAATAAAAATCCATCTAAAACCGAGATAATAGTTTACTTCAGCTATCAAAACGATAAAAGAATTAACACTTAGTTAGATACATGCAATAATGTTGAAATAGTATTCAAGATATAATATATTGACTTCGTTTGTCAGTATTACTTTTAACGTGCTCCCGAATGCCTTGGTACGGCTGAGAGTGAAGAGAGTCAGTACTCGCTCTCCAAATGCTCTCACATGGCCATGCATATACAGCCACAGCAATGGAAATCCTACTCACTGCCTTTTCGTGACATTGCTATTATTTACGAAATTGATAAGAGACGAAAAGCAAATATCCTCTGCTCTAAACGGATTGGTAGATATGGAGGATCCAACTAGAGGAGTTGGAAAATCCTCATTCCAAACCAATGGTTTACATAGGCTCGAGAATTCTAAGGAAACAAACGCCATATGAAACAATTATTGGTCACCGGTTACCATGCGAATGCATTTCCTGACGTTGTACCACATTTTTGTGGATCAAAAGCTTCTTCTGTGGCTCCTTATAGGAACCATCTGGTTCAATCCAGGCATCCGGACAAATTCACTGCCCTCAGACAAATTGAATAATTTATGTGGTACATATCTATTTGGTGCCTCCTTGTATGAATGTTTATGTATTTAAATAAATAAATAAATAAATAAGTAGTATAAAATTTATTAAGTAGTATATTCACTATTTAATATAATCGTAATCAATTGTTTAATCATTTAAGAATAAGTTTTTCTTATTCATTTAATACTTCCATTTTTATTTGTAATATATCATTTAATTGTTTTAATTCATTTTGTTTTATATTAAATTGATATTGTAAACATTCAACAGTATTACATAACTGTATCCATTGTTGTTCTACAATGGTTGTTTCTTGATCAAATTCTATTATTGTTTTACTTTCCATTTTAGAAAGTAATTGACAATGTTCATTTTGTTTTAATAAAGTTAAATATGCTAATTTTGTATCTATGAAATAATGATTTAATAATTGAATAATCAATTCTGTATCCTCATTATTCTGAACTGATTGTTTATCAACTATATTAGCTAATAAATTTTCTCTTATAGTTCCATCTGTTGATTGTATATATCGTATAATACTCCGATTGTTTACGTCTATAAGTTTTCTAGATTCTGTACTACAAGTAAAATAATTGGTAATAATACAAAAAAACAAACAAAAAAAAAGACAACAAATAACGAACAAACAAACAAACAAATAGTTGCTGTAATATTCACTTGATATTGTTTTACTTGAATCTTCCGATTGATGTTTAGCACTGCAATTGATCAGTCTCTCATATTGGCATATATGTGCATACTGTGCGTATTGCCTAGATATTGCGTTAATTTACAAGCATTATAAGCAAAGATGGATAGTGGCTAGCAGTGGAATGAAGTTTGATGCGCGTTTCGTCCTATTTGGGACTAATCAGCTGAATGTATCTGCATCTCAGAGTTGATGTTCACTATGGGACTCGAACCCAGTACCGTCCGCTTGAAACGCCATCGCGTTATCCACTTAGCTACTGAATCCTGATAGCCACTTGCTTGTGCAATCGGGTGAAGTTCAATTCACTTGATATTGTTTTACTTGAATCTTCTCATTGATGTTTAACACTGCAATTGATTAGTCTCTCATATTGGCATATATGTGCATACTGTGCGTATTGCCTAGATATTGCGTTAATTTACAAGCATTCTAAGCAAAGATGGATAGTGGCTAGTAGTGGAATGCAGTTTGATGCGCGTTTCGTCCTATTTGGGACTGGTCAGCTGGATGTATCTGCATCTCAGAGTTGATGTTCACTGTGGGACTCGAACCCAGTACCATCCGCTTGAAACGTCATCTCGTTATCCCCCTAGCTACTGAGTCCTTATGGGCACTTGCTTTTTCAATAGGGTGAAGTTTAATTCACATGATATTGTTTTACTTGAATCTTCCCATTGATGTTTAGCACTGCAATTGATCAGTCTCTTATTGGCATATGTGCATACTGTGCAGATTACCTCGATATTACCTTAAGTCACGAGTATTATAAGAAAAGATAGATAGCGGCTAGAATTGATCAACTGCAGTTCTAAACATCAATGGGAAGATTCAAGTAGATAAAATCAAGTGAATTTAAAACTTCACCCCATTGCACAACCAAGTGGTTATCAGGACTCAGTAGCTAAGTAGATAACGTGATGTCATTTGAAGCGAACGGTACTGGGTTTGAGTCCCAGGGTGAACATCAAATCTGAGATGTAAGACGAGACACACGGCCTGGATTCCACTGGTTGCTGTGATGCCATGAAATTTCCAACATCCAGTAGAACATTAATCATCAATATTAATAGTTGAGATCATGAATTAATTGAAGCTCGATCACCATGAAAAACCAAGAAGCACTGGTCGACTGTTTTATCCTATTATTGGACTCCTCAGCAGTGCGTATCCACGATCCCGCCTCACGAGACTCGAACTCAGAACCTATCAGTCTCGCGGGTGAGCGCTTGACCTCTAGACCAGTGAGCTGGCTAACATCCAGAGGTGTTAATGTCTAACTCCAACTAATCCACAAAATTGAGCGACACACCGTGGATGCGCAATTCTGAGTAGTCCCACAATGGGACGAAACGTTCGTCCAGTGCTTGCAAGTTTCCCATGGTGGTCTAGTTTCCATTGATTCATGATCTCAACTATTAGAATTGTTATAATATCCACAAAACCCTTTCTGATACTTCAGAATTTGTTTAATAAGAAAAAAATGAGTTAAGAACCTGAATCAATCACTTACTGAACATTTAAATAATCCTTCTGAAATGAATATTATAGATAGTACATTACATTATTTTATTATTATAATAGAACATACCACATTTTTAAATGGTTGTGTAGCATTAAAAGTTTCTATTTTATTCAAGTAATCAATCCATCTTTCCGCATATAACTAGATGAGAATGGGAAGTTTTTAATTAAAAAAAAGAAAATTAATTGTTTCGGTTGGTTAGTCTGACGGAATTTCTTTGAATAATCCTTAATTAATCAAAATATGCTCACTAGTGACTGGCTTCAAGAGGTATTTCCTGGTGTTCTAGTGAGAAGTAGTGACCAATGGAGTTCAACCGGGTCTGTTGTGAGATAGTAACTCACTGAAGACAATAGTGGATATGTCACTCGATTTCGTGGATTAGTTGGAGTCAGACATAAACCCCGTTGGATATCGTCCAGCTCAGTGGTCTGGCGATTAAGCGCTCGCGCTTGAGACAAGTCCTGGGTTGGAATCTCGTGAGGCGAGATCGTGGATGGGCACTGCTAAGGAGTCGTACCATATGACGAAATGGTCGTCTAATGCTTTCAGGTTTTCCATGGCTGTGTAGCTTCAATTGATTCATGATCTCAAGTATCGAAAAAAATTTCTCGAATTAACTTTTCAAACCCCTGATGGTAGGTGATGAAAAATATAACTCAAATCTCATTTGTTGCAAGTTGAAAGAAAATATTTGAAAATTGTATGTAAGTGAAGTGATAAAAATGATTAATAGATTGGTTGGAGTTAGACATTAACATCATTGAATGTCGGCCAGCTCGGTGGTTTAGAGGTTAATCATACGCGCGCGAGACTGATAAGTCTTGGGTTCGAATCTCACGAGGCGAGATCGTGGATGCAAACTGCTGAGAAGTCCCATACTAGGATGAAACGGTCATCCAATGCTTCCACGTTTCCCATAGTGATCCAGCTTTAATTTACTCATGAATTCAGTTATGAAATTACTACAGTCTCCACAAAAACCTTTCATAATACTAAAAATGAATTATTGAGAATGAGAAGTTATTATTAGTGACTTTTTAAGTGAAAAAGTCATTACTGGATAGTTCTGCTATATTTTGTATTGTAGAGTGTAATGTAAACAATTTCACTGATTAGAAATACAATACCACCAATCATCTATAATATACTATTGCTAAGTGTATCCAATAACAATTTTCGCGGGTGTTCTCAACCATAAGATGTAGATTATTGGATGAAAATATAAACTTTCTAACTACCATAAACAGAACTAAATCATTTCGAACTAAGGGCAAACAGTTCTTTAGGTTTAACCAAGAAGTATTGATATGTCAGAATAAAATGTCGAACTAAAAATTTCTCTATTGATTGAGGTTTTGAACACATTGATGTTAGATCACCATTCAAAACCTGGAAGGATTGGACGGATGTTTCGTCCTATTGTGGGACTCTTCAACAGCAGTGATCTAACATCAATCGGTTCATGATCTCAATCAATAACTTAATAATCTCCACAACCATATACTGATAAGACTTTTGCATCATTATCTTACTGAATCACTTGATAAACTATAAAAAAATTAGGGAATGAAAGTTAAAATAAACAAGATAACATTGAAATTGAACTGACTTACTTTGAAAAAATTCAGTCGAGATAAGATTGTTTGGTGATCATAAGAAATACAAATATTTTTTTGATCTAAATGTTTAATCACTCGTGAACCTAATCTGAGAATTATAGAAATAGTTGATAAATAATGAAATATCAATGAAACATCATCTATAACAAATAATTATTAAATCTATATTGATATTGATTCCTATTATGGACTAACCTTAGATATAGATATATACAATATAACCTTGTGGGGCAGGGTAATTTTAAATTGGTTTTCAGGAGAACCCAGACACCATCCAGACTTTCACGTGACAACCCGAGCAGTACAACTTAATCCCGTTTTGCAGAAGAACCAGACAATCTGAATAATACATCTCAATCCTGTGGTGCAACCACACAGGTACCAAGCAACCTAGTGGACCATTCACACCATTTATATATACATTCACACATATGTGTAGTTATTCCGTTCAATCATCGTGTGAATCACTAATACACACCACGAACAGGCCAAAGGTTACCTATTCCGCTTACACGGTAGTCAAACTTAATATTCTTAGCAATGGCGACATAAATTACAATGCCCCAATGACGATGGCCCTCGAGAACACTGAAAAGCAACCACCAGTATGAATAAAAATCGGTTAAGCAGTAAACCAATTTTGCATATGAACAGTTAGCGAAACGTGCCGAAATAATGCCTAACCATCTAAAATATCAATGACGAACCTCCAGTTTCATTTGAGACCTTCAGCTCTACATAGCAATATAGCTTATACTGCATACAACATATATATATATATATAGGATAATAAACAAAATAGCACATCCTGAAGCGTTAGGACTTAAAGAACTCTTAGAACCGATTGTCTCGTGTCGGAATACAATTACAAAGATCACCAAGATCATTTTAATCGCATTTACGAACTTTTCATTTTTCCGACTTCAGACCCTGTGTTAGGGGTAGTATCTCCAATTTTAGATATAGGACCAATTTAAATCGGAGAGGACTAAACATTTGTTTTCTTTTTTAAATCGGTATTTGAAGTTATTTTCATCTTCTATAGAATTGTAAACATTTAGATTATTTGATCATTTTCAGTTATCCAATCAAAACTATACTATCTATGCTTTCAAACTTTGTTCATTTGTATTACAGATAAAAAAAATTAAACTCTCTGTTATCGATAAGCATATATATTTTAGTTTCTAATTGAAAATCCCTAAAATCAAGTAGCAACTTGTTCTCCCCCCCCCCTCCCCTCCTCAATAGGTAGAATCAATCAGGTTAGATAAAATGGTTATTTATTACACTTTTGTTCATTGTTAAAGATCATGTCTGATTTCATTAGCATTTCTAGTTCAATTTAAATTGTTATATTGAAAGGTTTAATGTCAAAATTAAAGTTATACTAAATTTAGTTTTATTTTCGTGATATGAATACTCTTAGAGAGCTATCTGTAGTTTCTTGAAAATCCCCATAGAAGAGAACTAAAATAATTTATATTCTGTACTGTCTATTAGTTAACTGTTTAACTTGTGCCTTGTGTCCTATTAATGTATAACTTAATGATATCGCCAATTAGAGCGCAGTGAATTATCGACCGGACCAATGACACATAAAACCCATACGAGCAGTCTAGGGTCCCTATCGGTCCTTCTTTCTCCTGGCCCTGTCTGATTGTGGAGTCCTGAACACTAATATGAATCATTTATTTCAAATATACTGGGTTTTTATACAAACTAAACAGACCACATCATACCATAAAATTGGAAACAACATTTGTACAAGATTTAGACGAAAGTGGCTATGAATGTGGGAGATAGTAATTGATAGACTGGGGCATAATTCAAGAATGGTAAATCGTATATTAACAGTTCATAGGTTAAAATAAAGCTTATCATAAGAGGAAAACGAATATACATAATTTAGTTACTTAACAATTATACAATAAGAAATATATGTATCGTATTAGACCATAAATACCACTCCTAACCACTAGACTACAGCGGCCCTGGTACGGCCGAGAGTGGGGAGAGTCCGCTCTCCCTCTCGAAATGCTCTCACATGGCCACGCGTATACAGCCCCTGCCAGGGAAGTCCTACTCACTGCCTCCTCGTGGCGGGGGTGTTGTTTACGAAAATGAGAGGACGAAAAGCGAATGTCCCAAACCAATGGTGCACATGGGCTCCAGTATCCTGCGGGAACAAATGGCGTATGAACCAATCGTTGGTCACCGGCTACCATGGGACTGCATCTCCTCACGATGCTCTACTGCCTTGTGGATCAGACGTTCAGGTCAAAGGCTCGGGGTGTGACCACCTAAGAAAACCACCTGCTTCAGTTTGGGCATCCGAGCAGTATCACAGCCTTCACACAAATCAATTGAGATTCGTGTGGCGCATATGTATTTGGTGCCTTCTTGTACCAATACCTATGTGTTAAAATAAATAATCAATAAAATAAAATAAATACCATTCATTATTCTCATCAGGATATAACATTGACATACACAAACTCAATTCAAACAATAAAAATGATAAATTCAATAACATACTTAAACAATGATTTTGTTAATTCATAGAAATTATTCTTTTTCAATTTAGGATTTTGGTTGTTGAATTGATCATTTTGTAAACTTGATTTATTCCCACTGGGTAAATTTTGTTGATCACTTATATCTTTAGTATTGATATTTGTAATTTGTATATTCAATTGTTGTATTATATTAATTTGTTCTAATAGTATTTGTTCAATTCTCATTTCACTAATACTATTCACTCTGTTCTTTATTAATTCAAACCATTTTATTAAATTTTGTTGACATTTAAATAAACTTTTACTTTTATTATTATTATTCATTTGATTCCATCTAAAATAGTTTATAAGATAAAATCAAACTTATGAAATAGATAATGACAACTATAGTGGATAAAGTGATGTTTGAAGTGAACGGTATTGGGTTCAACTTCAGGGGTGAACATCAATTCTGAGATGTAGATATATCCAGTTGACTTGTCCTAAATAGAATGAAACATGTTGTAGTGTCGGTTATTATGTTAAGCCAATGTACCTTATTCTAGCTTTCGGATAGACCTTGTTCATTATTCGCTTACCAATCTTGACTGTTTTTATATGAGCGCATATATGTGTGTACACTTCTTATCCTATTAATCACATGTCTGTATCTTATTTTTATGTAACTATGAGTATTGTTTAACGCTTGACTAAATGAAATTCGCTTACCCGCCATCTCCGCTGCGCGTCGTTTCGCCTCGCTCTATTCCATTCGCTTCATATACAAAATATGTGTATTCAAAAGTCCGTTCTCGTTATTTGACTTATTTAGTTCCGTCATTGACTAACGCAATTCAAGTCGATGATTATGTACGAAGATAAGCGACATATATTTCAATAACAATCATTCATGCGACCGAATAGGAGTCAGATCGTGGGCCACTGAAGTGGAGAGCCCGTCAACAAACATCGTCCAATCTAAATGACGTCAAAATAAAGACCCTCACTGAAACGCGTCAAACTGGATAGCACTAATAACCACTATCCATCTTTGCTTATAATGCTTGTAAATTAACGCAATATCGAGGCAATACGCACAGTATGCACATATGCCAATATGAGAGACTGATCAATTGTAGTTCTGAACATCAATGGGAAGATTCAAGTAAAACAATATCATGTGAATTAAACTTCACCCTATTGAAAAAGCAAGTGCCCATAAGGACTCAGTAGCTAGGGGGGATAACGAGATGACGTTTGAAGCGAATGGTACTGGGTTCGAGTCCCACAGTGAACATCAACTCTGAGATGTAGGTACATCCAGCTGACGAGTCCTAAATAGGACGAAACATGCATCAAACTGGATTGCACTAATAACCACTATCCATCTTTGTTTAAAAATTATGATAGTAATTTTATTGGTTCTTTCAGAAATAAATTACTGGTCACGATGTATTTAGAAAAATATCTGTTAGATATGTAAGGGATTTTGAATGATCATAATTACTTTTAATGATAAATTGTAGAGTAATTCCATGTAATCGTTTTATTCATTGAATCAAAGTGTGGTGGTCGGTGTTCGATATATTCCTTAAACTCCGTATACAGTTCGTCTCGGTAACCGTCACCAAATAATGCTCCAACGGTATATTAATCAGAAGGCGAATACGAAGCGTTAATTACGTTTATTAAGTGATCACACACAGATATCCAAAATTACAGATGCGTTAAGCAAGCATGAAATAGTTGTGCCGAAAGGCAAACAGGCAAGCGAGCGAGCGAGCGAGCGAGAGAGAGCAAGGGCAAGAGCGAGCGATCGAGCGAGCGATCGAGCGAGTGAATGAACGAGCGAGCGAGTCATGAATATTAATAACATGGACATATATATACATAGTGAAATTAATAAATCATCAAGTCAATTAAGCGGTTAATAGTAAAGCTAGTAGCGTCAATAAATGCGTAGGCAGTAAGGCTTGCCGAGCATACATATTTATACAAGGATAACAATAATAAAGGTACATACATTCGCAACAGTAATAAGGATACAATAAGTTATTATAGTGCAGGTGACTTTGTCCGTTTAATAAGTTAATAAAAGGGCTTAACCGAATTAAGTGAGAGCAAACTCAATTGAACGTGAGTTGCTATAAAAGTTAAAATTATCAAACGTTATTTCTGTTACTTAAGAATGTCAATTATGTTTCCATTGGACCTAAGATACTATATAAAGTATTCTAACTACTAAAAAGCCATACAAAAATTATTAATATGAAATTCTTATTTTATGACCAGATTACATGATAATAACCAGTGTTCATTCATGTTTCCTTTAACCTCAGCAGTTAAATTAATGATCGACAAATTGGCTATGCTCTTACTAGTTGAAACTCATGTTCTTACGAGAACCATTTTGAACAGTTCCTATTTTACAGTTGATTGCTAAGCGACTGACTGTTATTGATGTCTTATTTTCAAGTAAGTAAGATAGTCTTCTGATTTAAATAAACCTTGGGTATGTTGTTATTATTAAATGTAACCGTTGTTCTAGTGAGTCTGATAGTTAATTTGTGAATTATTATCAGAAGGGATTTTTGTGTATATTATAGTAATTTCAATAGTTGAGATCATGAGTCAATTGAGGCTACACAACCAAGGAAAATCTGGAAGCTCTGGGTGATCGTTTTGTCCTATTGTGAGACTCCTCAATAGTGGGCATCCACGATTCCGTCTCGTGGGATTCGAACCCAGGATTTGTCTGTCTCGCGCCAGTGCTTAACCTCTAGACCTCTGAGTTGGCCGGCATCCAACGATGTTAATTTATAACTTCAACCAACCGATGTAATTGAGCGATCCATCCACCATTGTCATTAGTAAATTTCTATCTGACAACAGACCCGGTTGAACTCCACTGGTCACTGCTTCTCACTGGAACTCTAGGAAATACCTCTTTTAGATCGTTCCTAGTGAACATATGTTGATTAAATAATTTATTACTTATATTAACCCATCGTAATAGATAGTAGTTTCCAATAGTTTTTGTAAGAAATTTCAATAATTCTAACCAGTGAATGTAGGATTTTAGAAACGCTTTACAATTCAAACGTTAACCATAAGCTATGTTCCATGTAAAAGGAATGAGTTGGTGTCCGACGAAATCTCAGTACGGATTCAGAAAGCCCGTTTGGCTTTAGCCAACTTATGTCACCTATGGTGAACGTGAGATATCTGTCTATCAATCAAAGGAATAGTATACTGCACGACAGTTTATTCTGTTGTACTTTACGGCTGCGAAGCGTGGCCATTAAGAGTAGAAGATACTCGTAATTTACTAGTATTTGGTCACACATGTCTTAGGAATATTGCTCGCATCTGCTGGTATCACAGGGTAAGTAATAATGAGGTTAGAAACAGAGTATTAGGGAATGATGGTAAATCAGTTGATGAAGCTGCAAATCTTTATCAACTTTGATGGTTGGGTCATGTGTTACGTATGCCTGAACACCGATTACCATAACGTGCAATGCTGATTAGTGTTTTGGGGATGGCTGGAAGAAAGTTAAGGGCGGCCAAACGAAAACATAACATCAGTCCTTAAATTTACTAACCTCTGGTTTGAACTTAGTTCGTAGAAGCAGACTACTTGGTTAATGTCCACGTGACTATCGTAACCAATGATTGAAGATTACGGTCATCCATAGTTTTCTATGAATTCGCTGTTCATCTTTTTGTTCTATCAAGGTATAGCAACTTGAACTTACATATATATATGCCTGATCCTACATTGTAGCTGACTAACTGAGTGATGTAAAATGAACAATTTACTAAGAATTCTAAAACGTCAACTAAAACACAGAAAGAGATTTCATCATTCATCAACTTACTCATCAAATGAAACTGTACATATTTCATCTATTGAATGAGGTATATTAATTTGTTTTGATGGTAATTCATTGTCATATATTTGCCATTTATAATTCAGTATATTTCTAATACATTTCATCCAATAATCATATTGTTGGCAAAACATTTTACAGTGTAATTCTACTTCATCAGTAGTAATTTTACTTTGATTATTTAATCGTAAAGATGAATAGGTTTTTGAATTTTCTTTATTTACATAGTTTTCAGTATTCAATTGAATAAATCGAGTAAAATCTTTAATATTTTGAATAAGTTTAGTTAAAAATTGTATCATTCCATTGTCACCATGTAATTGAATTCGACGATAAGAGATCATATTTGTAAGCTCCTATAGTAAAAAAAAAAAAAAAATGAAGTAATATGGTAACTAAATGTCCTTTTTAAACAGTCTTGTATGTATGAAGCCACTTAAGTCTATCAGTCCAAGTTGATTTGTAATACAATTTTTTTTTTATTTAAACATGCACCACATAAATAATTCGATTTGTGTGAGGGTTAGGATACTACTGCCCGGGTGCCCATACCGAAGTAGGTGGTTCACATGTGGGACTACACACGGAGCTTTCAACCTAAAGGTCTGATCCATAAAGCAGTTGAGTAACGTAAGGAAATGCAGACTCATGGTGGCCTGTGACCAATAATTGGTTCATACACCATTTGTTTCTTCAGGATTCTGAAGCTAACCCATGTATACGATTGGTTTGGAATGAGTGTTTTCCAAATCCTCTAGATGAATTCTCCGTGTCCACCAACCCGGTTAGAGCATTGGATATTAGTTTTTCGTACTCTCAATTTCTTAAACAATACCCCTGGTAGGAGAAGGCAGTGAGTAGGACTTCTGTGACAGTAGTTGTATCACATGGCCATGTGAGAAAATTTCGAGAGGGAGAGTAGACTTTCCTCATCCTCGGCCGTATCAAGGCATTTGAGGGTGTATATAGGTGTATATATAGGATGTTTATGGACTGACTGTATCAAAAAATCATATTGTGGATAATTTCAAAAAGGGATAATAAATAGCCACTTACATACATACAAAGAATACAATACTGTTATAAATTGATTATCATAACTAAAATTAATTTAAAAAGTCAAATAGAATGTTCTTATTACTAAATTCACTGAGGAGTCCCACAATAGGACGAAACGGTCATCCAGTGCTTCTATGTTTTCCATGGTGATCTAACTTCAATTAACTTATGATCTCAACTATTGAAAACATTATAATAGGTTGATAGCTAAGCATTTTTAGTAATTCGATATAATGTATATAAGAATTCCCATCTACTTTAAGACATATAGTATTATACATTACAATGAAGTGTAGTTTTATGAATAAGGAATGGTAGAGATTCAATGTGGTATACTTGCACTCTTGCTGTAAATTAAACTAAACGAAACAAATGTTAATTTATAATCTTCGCTGATAAACGATTCCAGTTTCAAGGATTAGGGGGGGGGATAGATGATGACTAGTGGTAGTGTATGGTTCTCATTTTTATACATTTCGTTACTGTATATGTTTGAATTATGGACATAAAAGTGGATACATATATACACCGTAATATATCAAAATAATGACCACTAGAAAACGATTCTAGAAGTTATCACATAGAATATTTACATTATAACAATAAAATGATTGGTGAACAATAAACAACAATAAGTTACTTTCAACTTGATCAGTAACAAACGCACAAAGTGTTACAAATATACTACGGTTCAAGTTATTCACTTATTAATTATACTATAAGATTGATTACAGTAAACGCCAAACATAGAGAAAATGTCAGAAGGGGTTTTGTGGATATTATAGTAATTTCAATAGTTGAGATCGTGAGTCGATTGAAGTTATACCACCATGGAAAACCTGTAACCATTGGACGGCTGTTTCATTCTACTGTGAGACTCCTCAGTAGTACACATCCATGATCCGCCTCGCCAGATTCAAACCCAGGACATGTCAGTCTCGCTCGTGAGCTCTTAACCGTTAGACAACTGAGCCGGCTTCAATTGACTCATGATCTCAACTATTAAAATAAAGAAAAAAACAATGTATGGTATGAATATTATAACTCAAGATCAATAGTGTTATTATAATTGATTTTGAGTTACGTTAGTTACGGTCTTCTACGATTGATTGTAACTACTGTGCAGACCCCAAGAAGACATTTTTTATTTTCAGGGACGTCTCAGTCTAAAAGTAGTTGAATTCACGAACTGATATCACAGCTTGGTTTGGCTATCTCTAACATTGTTCTTACTGAGTGTTTTGCTAGCTAACACAGTACTTCGGTGTGCCTGGTGATTGGAATTATGTCACACATATTTCAAATAACTCATTTGACGAAGGCTTATAGCCTCATCCATTGATTTACTGTTCCACACGTTGCTTCAACATTACTCTTCATGGTTTTACCGTATACAGATAACGGTATCAAGGTATCTATTGCCGAATATTGGTAGCTTATGTATTAATTTCTTTAACTCATTTCAATCAACGGTAAGGTATTGGTGTCGTAGTGAAGGATAACGCAGGTGAATACAACTGAATGCAAATTATAGAACGTGTTAATAAAACCTAACAATCATAAAGCAAATGCTTAATTTGCAAAATATTGATCAATTGTCTCATAATGATTCAGACTTCATTGTTCTTTCATTTTCATACAAATTGCATTCTGTTTTCATTCTTTACTATTCGATCTTCTTGTCTCTCTGCTGCCAGACATTCCGTTCACGACTAATATCATATACTACTTATATCTACATAAGTAGCACACACCATAGTAAGTTACATATCCGTAAAATGTGATTGAAAAATCATGACTACTGGTTGTACATATCTGATTCAAAGTCTTATATTCCTGATGCTGGGTTGAATGAAACAGCGACTTTTCACTTTTTTGCTTATTTACTTGCGCATGTTGCCCATCGTGAAGCACAAGCCACTCACCAGGATTCTCCAACCATATTCTGAGCTCTATATGCCACTCACTACCAAGTGCTATTTGGTCTTTTGAAGACTCCCTTCAACTTCCGACACAATGTGTTATTTGGTGCTCCCCTTCTCTTTTTCTCTTCAGGATTCGAAGTGAATGCCTGCCTCATGATGTAATATGATGATTTTTGCAATGTATGTTCCATCCACCTACAGTATCTTTTCCTAATTCCCTTCTCATCTGGAAATCGGTTTGTTCTCTGCAGCCATAGGTTGATGATGATATGTAGCCAGCGGATATGGAGAATTTTGTGTGACGTAGTGTTTATAAATGCCTGTGTTTTTCTGACGATGTTTGTGGTGGTACTCCACGTTTAAGCTTCGTACAATAGAACTGTCTTGATGTTTGCATTGAAGATTGTGACTTTGGTTTTTATCTGGCGGCTTTTTTGGGTTTCATATGTCCTTCAGTTGTGAGAATGCTGTCCTTATTTAGACAATCCGTCCCTTTGCAACTGTATCAGATCCTCTTTTTTATCAATAATGCTTCCCAGGTACCTGAAAGTTTTTATCTCTTCCACAGCTTCTTCAATAAGTGTGCTTTTCGACTCTAATGCTCCTCATCACTCTCTTGTTTGCTTCTGTGTACTCAGCTTGTGCCTTGACTTTCTCTTCCCTTATTTAACTGTTGTTGTTTACTGTCTTATTGTGCTTCCTTTTATGGACACTTCTCCACGATCGACTGCAGGGTCTCGTAAAACTGATCTTTATAGTCTTCATTGTTATCATTCGTAGGTGCACAACACTGGATATCATTCGCTGTGATTCTCTCTTTCTTTGTTTTGATAGATGCTTTGATGATTTTGGCTACGTGAGATTTCCATTCTATAAGTGCTTTGCGTGCTTATTTGGACAGCATCGGAGCAACTCCCTATGTGTGCGGAGCATTTTCTTCTTCGTGACCATAGTACGACAGCATCTCTCCAGGATCTAGCCTTTTCTGTCTAGCCTGGGTCTAATAGGGTTCGCTGATTCCGAGTACTGTCAAGTTGTATCTCCTCACTCTTGTAGCTATTTGGCTGGTCCTCGCAGTCTTCCGCAATGTCCGAATATTCTACATACCAAGGTTAATTGTTGTTTTGTCGACAGAAAGGGAATCGGTTTCGTAATTTCTGAAGTATCTCGGCTTTCATCATGATGGATCATGATTCTTTTAAATGAAGTTCCTTCAACTCCCAGGCCAAGGTCAAAACGTTTTTTTCTTGTTGACATTCTCCGAACAAGGTTTTTTTCTACGGATAGGGTTTCTAGCCGCATACCCAACTCTTTTTCTTTACCCAGTCTTGAGAATTGCATTAACCGTAGAAGATCTATAGGTGGAGTGATTGATCTATATTTTATCGGTTCTGTCTTTTTCTTCGATCAGTAAAGCTTATTTCAACAAGGTTGTATGAATAAAAATACTCTGAATATCATTTGTTAGTATTCAGTGACTCACTATGAAATTCTATTAAGTAATAATTTTTAGACATAAAAATCGGAACTGAAGTACCAGTAAACTATTAAATAAGTAGCTCTGCCTGCAGCTCTTCTAAAGTTACTGCCGATCTCAAGCCCGAGTAAAGGAGGAGAGTTAGGCATGGGTTAGCGACCCCATCCTGTAGTAAACTAACTAGCTTAAGAACGCAAGAAAACTCGGAAAACGGGAAAACCAAAGAACATATTACGTTGGGAAATAGAAGCAGATATGAAGTGAATGAATGACAACTGGAAAGAGCTGGAAAGGATTGCCCAAGACAGGGTTGGATGGAGAGTGCTGGCGGACGGCCTATGCTCCTCCACGAAGAGTAACAAGCGTAAGTGTTAAATAAGTGAATTCGTGTTAAACAAAAGAGACAAAATAGTATAAAATCAAAGGAAGTTGGGTGAAGTATAAACTAAAAACCACACGATTCGTTAATGATGACTGAGGACGTGGGGGACTTTTCGGAGGGATTATAAATCACTATCGATAAGAGTGAAGCAACTAATTAAATTTGAGTTAAATGCCCTTCATTTAAGATTCATTTAGCGTCAGACTGGTTACTATTATTTATTTATTTGAATTTGAATTTAGACATTAACACCGTTGGATGCCTGCCAGCTCAGTTGTCTAGAGGTTAAGCACTAGCGCGCGAAACTGATAGGTCCTGGGTTCAAATCTCACGAGACAAGATCGTGAGTGCGCACTATTGAGGAGTCCCAAAATAGGACGAAACGACCGTTCAGTTCTTCCAGGTTCTAGCTTCAATTGACTCGTGATCCCAACTATTGAAATTACTAAAATATCCACAAAACCCCTTCTGATGTTTACTTATTTGACTACCATTCATGAAATTGCACATTTTTCTACAAACATGATTATATATTAATTCCTATTTTTCTGTATCCCTGCTACTGATCGATGGATGTGTATTTACTGTTCAGTTTGTATCATTTTACTTTTTCATGCTAATTGTATTGATTTTTTTTTAAACATTGTAATTGTTGGCTACATATGTGGTTACCTGATTTGACTATAGCCTTGATGAGATTGTGTTCATCTGTTGAGGGACTTATTCAAGCAATACATCTGTAGATAAATCAAATTTTACCTAATCATCATTAGTAATTTAAAATGACAGATAATATTTTCAAGTTCAGTATTATGATATAAACATACGCCTTAGATACTATTAGCTTATGTAATCTAAAATGATAGGAATATTTTGATGAAAATGTTGTTCTCTGAGCTGGATGGTTTAGTCATGAATAATATGGAACACTATACGATGACACGCAAAATCATGAAACGTTTCACAACCAAACCAACCAGCTCAGAGAATAAAACTCAATTAAAATCATCCACCTGAGTTATAAATCTACTCCATCATCTCAAAATGATAGGAATACTTAGGAACCTAACGGAGAAACTCACAAGATAATTATTCATGTAGCTTTAAACGACATTTTACACATAAACAATAGATCAGGTAAACTATATACAAATATATACGATTTCGTATTGTGTAAAAGCAAGTTGAAAAATAGCTTAATTTGTCATAGTTAAATACTAAATGTATCGTTTGTTTTTTTTATAATCTTGTTAACTGTAATCATCTTTAACCTTGAGTTTGACTGAATAAATAAATGGTGATTGTCGTTAAATACACTGATGTCAATATTTATTTTAATCTATCTATTAACACCGTTGGATGCCGGCCAGCTCAGTGGTCTAGAGGTTAAACACTGGCGCGCGAGATTGATAGGTTCTGAGTTTAAATCTCGCGAGACGGGATCGTTAATGCTCACTGCTGAAGAGTCTCACAATAGGATGAAACGGCCTTTTAATGCCTCTGGGTTTTCTATGATGATCTAGTTTCAATTGACTCATGAATTCAATTATGAAATCAAATCTATTTCTGGCAAGACTATAATTTATGAGCGAGGCAATCAGATATAAGAATAATAAGTAATGGATATTAGCGCGAAATTTATTCATACGTTTGGCTAAATAGAATTTTAGCATTATAGTTCGTGATGAAAACCTTGAATCTAATTTTTAACCTTAGTCATCAACTGTAAATAAGAATTCTAACTCATTTAGTAATAAACAGTAAGTGTCCATTTTCAGGATCATTTCAACGCTACTTAAAGGTCATCCATAAATTATAGTCTCACCAAAGTAGCAAACAAAATTATTAAAATATAAAGTTACATATTACTTTTTGTAATTGTATCGTTATATCTTTTTCATAATTTTTAGAGTCCTCAAGTATTAATTCATCACAATGAGATGACTGATAAAACAATTCAAACCAACCATTTTGAATGTGTTCAATTGTTATAAGTTTTTCTTCAATATTTAATATACGCTCTCCATTGAATAAATCTAGACACTGATTGCTGACCTTGACAAGAACAAATAGAAAATATTTGTAAAGTATACAATTTAAATGTTCATTTCAACTACTAATAGATATTTTTAAATGTATAGGAAACTCATGATAGTTCTATAATCTAAAGTAGTAATACTAAAGAATATATGATAGAATTATGAAAAGTGACTTATATTTCTTGTAGAAAACTAACTCACTAAAATAGCGTTAACCAGAAAAAAAATAATTCAAACCATTTAAACTATGCCATGGGAGTTAGAAGGTTTTCATGCAGAAAAGTCATGATGCCTTATGGTGAATGCCGATTTTCTTAGGCTGGTGCCCGTTTTGACAACCAGAGCAACCATTAATTTAGGTACATGTTATTATTTATTTATTTATTTATTTATTTGAACACATAAATATTGGTACAAGAGGGCACCAAATATATATGCACCACACAAAACAACGATAACTTGAAGAGAAGGATAAAAAAAAAAGTAGTGAAAGTGGGGAATTATAAAAAAAAAGAGAGAACAATAATGGGGGAAACGGAAAGGTACACTCAGAAGAAATCTTACATTTAAAGAGGATACAGCCACTTTTTATAAAGAAAGTAAAATAAAGTTACAGCAGGATCACCACTGGCTTCTATTCTGAGCCATATCTGATAACGTCTCTAGCCACTGCGTTACACCGTCTCTCGGACCCCAGCATGAAAGTCGTGAAGGACCAACAGAAGCTAGCCCTTTGTAGCTTTCTTTCATACCACGACACCATGTCATACACTAACCACTTCTCCGCTTATTCCAACCAGTCTCAGAGTCGGCAAATAATGCACGACGTGGAATTCTCTGGGACGACATTCGTAGAACAGGTCCAAGCCCACGAAGTCGGTGTTTCAAGATGGTGACACCAATTTCATTATCGTCTCTGTGACCGAACACTCGATGCCGAACCTCTGCATTACTGACATGGTGTTGCCACTGGATGCCAGCAATCCTTCGGAGACAACGATGATCGAACACAGAGAGTCGTCTAACATCCTCAGCTCGGAGAGGCCAGGTTTCACAAGCATAGAGCAAAACTGCTCTCACCGTCGCGTTGTAGATCCGACCTTTTACAGCCAGACTAACATCACGAAGGAGCCAAAGATGGCCCAGATTGGCATAAGCCGCTCTGGCTTTCACTATACGTGCATTGATCTCATCACTCACGCCACCACCATCACTTATGCAGCTACCTAGATACACGAACTTCTCGACTACTTCAATCTGCTCACCATCCAGAGTGAGTACAGGATTAGAATCCTGCCAGTCTTGTAGAAGTACTTTGCACTTCGAAGGTGCAAAGCATACACCATACCTACGGACACTGATTGCCAACTGATTAAGTGCGGATTGCATAGCTTGGGCATTCTCGCATAGTAAGACAATATCATCAGCATATTCAAGGTCGAGAAGTCTTTCTCCAGGCAACACATCCACACCACCATTACTTACATCCGTCAGAGCTGTTTCCAGAATGTCATCGATGGCAAAGTTGAAGAGGAATGGTGAGATTAGGCAACCCTGCCTAACTCCACTGCTCGAATGGAATAATGGAGAAAGGTAGATGTATGCCCTCACTCTGCCTGAGGTGTTTGGGTATAGGGCTTTTAGGATGTTAATAAACTTCTCAGGCACACCCCTCTTCAATAGACAATCCCAGAGAACAGTCCTATCCAACGAATCGAAAGCAGCCCTGATATCATGAAACACTACGATTGTTGGCCTTTGATAAGTATGACGGTGTTCTAACACTTGGCGGAGGGTGAAGATATGATCAATACATCCTCGACCAGAACGAAACCCAGCCTGCTCCTCTCCAGTCAATCCTTCTCGGGTTTTGAATAACCTACGAAGTATAACGGATGCCAATACCTTGGACGCAATCGGAAGTAGACTAATTCCCCGATAGTTGTTACAGGAACGATGTGAACCCTTTTTAAAGACAGGGACAATTATAGACACATTCCATGACGTTGGTACACTCTCTAGTCCCCAGATCTTTGTAAACAACATCTTCAGCTCCTTAGTCAGAAAGTCACCACCATCTTTAAAAAGAGCCGGAGGCAAGTCATCTGGACCCGGTGATTTGTAACGTTTCAAGAGTTGGAGTTCCTTGCGGACTTCCGCCTCATTTGGTGGATCAGTCGTCACCGGCCATGGAGGGCAGGACAGTCTGACCGATGTTGCCGGGGCACCAGGTCAGTTGAACTGCCCTTCGAAGAATTCTGCCCATCGTCCAAGACGTCGATGGATGTTAGCGATTGGCGTTCCGTCATCCTCGCAGATTGATCCGCTCACGCCAGACTTCTTGCTGCCAGTGACTCGGATGAGTTGGAAGAGCTTCCGGTAATTACCAGATGCAGCTGCTGCTTCCAGCTCATTAGCATGCTCCTAACACCAGGATTTTTGGTCCTTACGCAAGCTTTGCCCGATTTCATTACGTAACATCCTTCGTTTGTGGTCAAACTCACGGCCATCTGGAGTAGACCGACGGGCTTCAATGAGTTGCAAGGAACCAGAAGAAACCCAGTGCTTGTAAGCGGGACGTTTCGCGAACCCACAACAAACTGTACCCGCCATTTTCATGGCGTCATGAAATTGCAACCAGTGCTCATCTATACTTTTCGGTGGAATGGTAGCTAACCTAGGAGCTAGCTCGGTTCGATACTTACTGGTAACAGAAGTTGCAACCAACTTGCTAACATCAATCCTTTGGTGGCGGTCATTTCGTTGGTCACTGAAAAGTAAGGTAAGATTGGCTCAGACCAGGGCATGATCAGAGTCCAGATAGGTACTCCAAAAGGAGCGGCAGTCTTGTACACAACCACGCCAGCGGTAGCTGATCGCGATGTGATCAATCTGAGTCCAGGCTTGAGATGCAGAAGGGGGGCGCCAGATGGCACATCGGCGATGACTGTGCCGAAAATTAGTGCTATCCAGAAACAGGTTGTGGTCTGTGCATAGTTGCAGTAGACGGCCACCGTTATCTGTCCTGCGACCAACAAGTCCCCATCGGCCACCTAAACGACTCTCTTCTGTGCCTAGACGCCCGACCTGAACATTCAAGTTTCCGATTAGTACTACAATATCTGACGGACGCACTTTCTGGAGAAGAACAGCTAACTGGTTGTAGAATTCATTCTTGATTTCATCCGGGCTGCAATCTGTCGGGGCACAGGCGATGACGAAAAGACATCGTTTCCCAATCCGATTTCTTCTCACTTTGATAGAACTTTCTAATCTAACAGCGCATAACCGACAGTTAACGGGGATCCAATCGATCAGTGTTGCCTGAGCTGTAGCGCTTAGTGCGACATCAACGCCAGCAAGACCAAACGACGATGCCACAGGGTCCCGGGATAAACGTACGTAAAACAAGCTTTTTGAAGAGACAGATAGAGAGCGAATTTGTAGTATTTCACCAGAGTCTTGAATAAGGGTCTCGGATAGACAACAAACGTCAATATTAAGACTTTCTAAAGACATATCCAGCCGTATCTGTTTTCCGACCTGCATAAGTGTGCAAACGTTGAAGGCAGCCAGTTTGAATGGTGCGCGTGGTTTCAGAAAGACTGTTTCAGTACTCGTATTCGGTGGTAACATACAATTTTCAACCAGGCAGTGACTTGAGAACGTTTAGATAGAGCCGAATTTTCACCATAGGCGAGCTGCTGTCTAAGTCGAAACGGATACATAAAGTAGGAATAAGAGAGAGTGAATAAATGACGTGGTAAAATAATAATAATAATATTAATAATATATAATAATAATAATGATAGTGCGAGTCATTTCAGTGTAAATCGGATCGAAAAGAATATTTTCCATAAGTAAATAGTTCATCATGTTTTAGTGCGTGGGCTGGGATACTGCCCGGGTGCCCAGACCGAAGCAGGCGATTTTCTTTGGGGGCCACGACCCGAGCTTTCGACCTAAAGGTCTAACCCACAAGGCAGTGGAGCATCGTGAGGAGATGCAGTCCCATGGAAGCCGGTGACCAAGAAATTGGTTCATACGCCATTTGTTCCTTCAGGATTTTGGAGCCCATGTGCACCATTGGTTTGGGATCCGGTTAAAGTGCCGGAAATTTGCTTTTCTTCCTCTCATTTTCGTAAACAACACTACTGCCATGAGAAGGCAGTGAGTAGGACTTCCCTGACAGAGGCTGTATAAGCGTGGCCGTGTGAGAGTATTTCGAGAGGGAGAGCGAACCACCCCACTCTCCGCCATACCAGGGCATTTGGGGGCAGGTACATGGCATCTTGGTGTAATGTGGGAGACCGGGAGAGTCTTCCATATTGCTGCAGAAATATAATAAACAATATGAAACCATTTGAACAGAGAGAACAGTAATTTTGCTTGAAAACTAGGAAATCAATAAAAGAATAACTTCTTACTTTTAATAAATTTGACAGTAAGTCTAATAGATCGTTCAAACAGTTCTGTGTATCCATCAATCTAAGAAAGAGAAATACATAAAAGTTGATTGTCTGTATAAAATTGTCTGTATAAATGTGGAACAATGAAACCATATTGATTTTAATAGTTGAGATCATGAGTCGATTGAAACTAGACCACCATGGAACCACTGGACGGCCGTTTCATCCTATTGTAGTACTCCTGAGCAGTGCGTAGGTCATGATTCCGTCTCGCGAGATTTGAACCCAGGACCTATCATTCTCACGCGCGAGCGCTTAAACATTAGACCACTGAAATAGCCGGCATCTAATGGCCTTAATATTTAGTTTCAACTAATCCACGAAACTGAGTGACACATCCACATCTACAACAATTTAGTTTATCTAGTATCCTTAGCACTAAGAACTAAAAATGACCTACTTATTATTGCATACTGTACAGACTAATTATTTCGTCGAAATTTAATAGATTCTATGGCTAATTGATGTTGGTCAAAAAATTAGCTATGATAGATGATGATTTTAGCCACCTACAATTTTAGATCAGAGATCACTCTTATCGTATGAATTTAACATCAAAACCACCCAGTCAGTCAGTCAGCAAAAACTTCTTACGTACGTACATCATTTCGAGTTGCCATACCACATTAGCATAGAGATACAAATGTCGATTCAAATCCCGTTGTGGCAGAGGTAGTAAAAGTATCAGCAACAATCGGAAACATTAGGGTTTGAAGATGTTATTCAAGGAGTATAACACAGTGAAATAAATTTGGAGAGTGAAAAAAAAGGAACACGAAGAATTCAGAAGATTAAAATTTTGGAGAACACAAAGATTGGATGCACCTGCGCCATTGCAAACGATTTTGAGCCATGTCATTTAAGGTCTCTAACCATTCAAGTCTCTGACTGGTTGCTACTGTCTAGAGAATCACAACCAGGTAATCTATACCTACCAACATGTCTCAGTTCACTTGTCAGCGACTTCGTGGATTTGTGTCATGTTTTGGTCTTGCCGCCTCTAGCTTCCTTCCAATCTACTGCTACACCGGTCGGTGGTTGCGCATACGTAATACGCGTCCCAGTCATCACTACTTCATCAATCGATTTGCTATCCCTACCTAGTACCCTTTTCCTAACAACTGCATTACTTACTCGATGGTCCCAGGATATATGAGCAATACTTCGAAGACACCTAAGATCGGGTACTAGTAACCTACGAATATCCTCTACTCTTGCCGGTCATATTTCACTGCCACAAAGTATGACAGGACGAACTGCTGCGCAGTAAATCCGTCCTTTGTTTTGTAGCAGGTACTAGTCTTAGGCAGGTAACCAGTAACTTTATAGGAAATGTTTATGCTGATTTACATTTTAATGAATTCAAAATAACATGACCTCATGTATACACCACAAAATTCACTTCTAAAATGCATCTCAAATCGATGTCAGTTCACCATTCTCAATTGTTTGGTCTTGAAAAGATTATAAAATCAGTTTAAAGACTTAATAATAACAAAAATAAGATATTCAAAACATTATTGCAATATTTAACCTGTGAGGTTTAAAGTATATATCTAGATTCTTTAACATAGAATCTAGTTTTTGTAAATGTTGTTTACATTCTTGATCATGAATATAAAGATCTTTTTCTACCGATTCAAAATGTATATACCAATCATTCCATATGATCTTATCAATTTGATTTAGAATTGTTATATCATATAGTTTGAATAATTCTATTAACCAAGTACCAATAAATCCCCATATTTCAACAGTTTGTTGTAATTTAAAACATATAACAGCTAAATTTGATATATTTGATTTTTGAACATTTGATATTTGATTGTAAACCTATAATTGAATAGTAAGTAACAAGCCTTGTAATTATACAATTGTAGTATTTGAAATCATTTTTATTATTTCCCGGAGTAGTTATAAAAGTTGTTTGGATAACATTAGATATGAAATACACAGAAGTTAATTAAGTTATTACTTACTTACTTACTTACTTACGCCTGTTACTCCTCGTGAAGGAGCATAGGCCGCTCACCAGCATTCTCCATCCAACCCTGTCCTGAGCAATCCTTTCAAGCTCTTTCCAGTTCTTATTCATCTTTTTCATATCTGCTTCTATTTCCCGACGTAATGTGTTCTTTGGCCTTCCTCTTTTCCGCTTCCCTTCAGGATTCCAAGTTAGCGCTTGTCTCGTAATGCAGTTTGATGATTTCCTCAATGTATGTCCTATCCATTTCCATCGTCTTTTCCTAATTTCCTCTTCAGCTGGAAGCTGGTTGGTTCTCTCCCACAAAAGGCTGTTGCTGATGGTATCCGGCAAATGGATGTTGAGTATCATGCGTAGACAGCTATTAATAAATACCTGTACCTTCTTGATGGTGGTTGTTGTAGTTCTCCAAGTTTCAGCTCCGTACAGTAGAACTGCCTTGACGTTCGTATTGAAGATTCTGACTTTGATATTGGTTGAAAGTTGTTTTGAGTTCCATATGTTCTTCAGTTGAAGGAATGCCGCTCTAGCTTTGCCTATCCTCACCTTGACGTCTTCATCTGAACCTCTTTGTTTATCGACGATGCTTCCCAGGTATGTGAAGGATTCCACGTCTTCCAGAGTTTCGCCATCAAGAGTGATTGGGTTGCTGTTCTCCGTGTTGTGTTTGAGGACCTTGGTTTTCCCTTTGTGTATGTTGAGGCCTACTGATGCAGAGACTGCTGCTATGCTGGCTGTCTTTATCTGCATTTGTTCGTGTGTATGTGATAGGAGGGCTAGGTCATCTGCGAAGTCCAAGTCGTCTAATTGGTTCTGAGCTGTCCATCGTATGCCGTAGTTTCTCTCAGATGCATAAATAAAACATTGATCATGTATTTTCATTGCAGATCCTATAAAATGTTAGTAGAACAAGCCCTCAAATGCTCTGATACAACCGAGAATGGGGAGAGTAAGCTCTCACTCTCCAAATGCTCTCATATAACTACGTGTATACAACCACTGTCATAGAAGTCCTACTCACTGCTATGTCATGGCGGGAGTGTTATTTACGAAATTGAGAGGATGAAAAGCGAATGTCTGGCGAGTTAATCGGGATAGTAGAGACAGAAAGTTCATCTAGGGGAGTTGGAAAACTCAAATTCCAAATCAATTGTGTACATGGGGGCTCCAGGATCCTGAAGAAACAAGTAGCGTATGAACCAATTATTAGTCACCGACTACCATGTGACTGCATCTCCCGACGTTGCTCCGCTGCTTTGTGGATTTGACCTTTAAGTCAAAGGCTCAGGATGTGGCTTCCTAAGAAAACCACTTGCTTTGTTTTGAGCACCCGGGCAGTATCCCGGCCCTCATATAAATCGAATAATTTATGCGGCGCATATCTGTTTGGTGCCACCCTGTACCAATGTCTATGTGTTTAAATAAATAAATGATAAATAGTAGACCAAATGTTTTGTAATTAACAATCAATAGACACAAAGTAATCGATTGTTTTATCCGGAAAAACTAAAAATAGTTGAGGTTCTTAATTTAGTAGTGTCTGAAAACAGGGTAGTAGGTAAAACATATTGCCAAAATGAGATTTAGATCAGAATGGGGTTTGTGGAGATTGTAGTAATTTGAATAGTTGAATTCATGAGTCCATGTAAGCTAGACCACAGTTGGAAACATGGAAACACTAGACGACTGTCTCGTCCTAGGATTGGACTTCTCGTCAGTGCGCGTTCACGATCCTACATGCAGGACTCGAACCCAAGACCTTTGCTCTCATGCGAGAGCGCTTGGTCTCTAGACCATTGAGCCGGTATCCAATGGTATTAATGTCTAACTTCGGTCGATCCATGAGTGGTTGTGTAACCATTCATCCATTGTCTGAGGTCGATATCTGTCTCTACTCGACACAGATTGGACTCCTCTGGTCACGGTTTCTCACTAGAACTCCAGTAAATCATCTCAAAGCCAGTCACTAATGAGCACATGATGATTATGATCAGAGTGGGGTTTGTAGAGATAGTAGCAATTTTAATAGTTGAATTCATGAATCGATCTAAGCTAGACAGCCAGAAAACTGCACTCTGTCTAAAATATTATAAGATTATTGTTTGTATTCTGGTTACAATGTTCCAAGATTGTATTTCAGATCCTATTCCCATGTAAAGTCATTAATGTTTTAATAGCTGGCGAGGTTTTTTTATAGAGATTGAATATCTTAAAGCCATATATTAATTTAAGTACTCACTAACTGATATTTAAGCAATTTTGAGAATTCATTGATTGTCAATATTTAGACAATAGACAAACACAAGTAACATTCTTAGATCATCACAGGCTTATTAAACGTCATTACATTAAACAATAATAAAGTTCAATGAACTAAAATCATTAAATGCGAAGATGGATAGTGGCTAGCAGTGGAATGCAGTTTGACGCGCGTTTCGTCCTATTTGGGACTGGTCAGCTGGATGTACCTGCATCTCAGAGTTGATGTTCACTGTGGGACTCGAACCCAGTACCGTCGAAACGCGCGTCAAACTGCATTCCACTGCTAGCCACTATCCATCTTTGCTTATAATGCTTGTCAATTAACGCAATATCGAGGCAATATGCACAGTATACACATATGCCATTATGAGAGACTGATCAATTGCATTTCTAAACATCAATGAGAAGATTCAAGTAAAGCAATATCAAGTGAATTTAAAAACATTAAGATTAACATAAACACAATAACTTACATGATAACCAAGTACTTTCAACGAATTATTCCATAATTTGTAGTCGTTCTTCATATTTTCCAACCTGTCCTTAGAATGTTTTCTTTGATTTGTATAATAATGTTTAAATTCATTTAATAAATATTCTTTCATTGACGCTTCACTTAATTTAGCCTTAAGCTAATTTTAAAAAAAATTTACCGATATAGTTTAGCTACTATAAAAAGTAATTCATAGACCCAAATGCCCTGATACGGTTGAGAGTGGGGAGAGTCAGCTCTCCCACTCCAAATACTCTCACATCACCACGCTTATACAGCTACTATCAGAGAAGTCCTGCTCACTGCCTTCTCGTAGTATTACTGTTGTTTACGAAATTGAGAGGACGAAAAACGAATTTCCGGAGCTTTAACTTGGTTGGTGAATATGGAGGACTCACCTAGAGGAGTTGGAGAATCCCCATTTCAAATCAATGGTGTCCATAGGCCTAAGAATCCTGAGGGAACAGATGGCGTATGAACCAATCGTTGGCTAACAGTTACTATGTGTCTGCATCTCCTTACGTTGCTCCACTTCCTTGTGGATTAGACCTATAGGTCAAAGGCTCGGTGTGGGAACCACCTGTTTCGGTTTGGGCACCCGCGAAGTACCCCAGACCTCACATAAATCAAATGACTTATGTGGGGCATATCTATTTGGTGCCTCCTTGTATCAATGTTTATGTGTCTAAATAAATAAATAAGTTCGTACCTTAATTGCGATTCTTTTTTCTTCCATTTTATATGTTTTGTTCGTTTCGCATATCGCTTTTATCCTCCTTTTATTTAGAATAACAATTTTACCATAATCAACTTACTGAAAAATATCCATAGTTTCATTGACATGTTGTTCATTCAACTGTAAAGTTTTTTGACGTAGTATTTCTTGACAGAATAATTCACTGAATAAGCTACAAAAGTTAATTCCATTTTAATCAGAGAGGAGTTTTCTGGGCATTATAGAAATTTTTAATGGTTGAATTCATGAGTCATTTAAACCTAGACTACCATGGAAAACGTGGAAGCACATGATGGCCGTTTCGTCCTATTGTGTGACTCCTCAGCAGTGCGCATTCATGATCCCGCCTCGCGATATTCGAATCCTGGACCTATCCGTAATTCCTGGAGTTCTAGTGAGAGGCCGTGACCAATGGAGTTCAACCAAGTCTGTTGTGAGATAGTAACTCACTGAAGACAATGGTAAATCTGTCGCTCAATTTCGTGGATTGGTTGAAGTTAGACATTAAACATCATTGGATGCCGAGTCAATGGTCTAGTGATTAAGCGTTCGCGTGCGAGACTGATAGGTCCTGAGTTCGAATCTCGCTAGACGAGATTGTGGATGCACACTGCTGAAGAGTCCCATACTAGGACGAAACGACCGTCCAATGCTTCCAGGTTTTCCATGGTGATCTAGCTTTAATTGACTCATGAATTCAATTATTAAAATTCCATTCTAAATTGAATCAGTATTTCATTGCTTACTTCGAGAATTTGATTGGTAGAGATTCAATAAAATTTTTGTAAATCATTCTAATATCAGCTAAAAGTTTGCCACGTTCATAACATTGAACAGTTTCCTGAGGAAAAATAAATTCGAGTGAATTATTTTTAATGTTATCAATTTATTTCATATCAGAAGGGTTTTTGTAGATATTATAGTAATTTCAATGGTTGAGATCATGAGTCAATTGAAGCTAGACCACCATGGGAAACCTGGAAGCACACGACGGCCATTTCGTCTTATTGTGCAATTCCTCGGCAGTGAAATGCTCACTACTGAGAAGTCCCATACTAGGATAAAACAGCCGTCCAATGCTTCCAGGTTTTCCATGGTGGTCTAGCTTCAATTGACTCATGATTTCAACCATTGAGATCAATCTATTCATTGTAAGTCAACTATTCTAACCTTCTTTGATAAACCGACAAGAATGATCAATATCTTTATGACAAAATTAGTTAAATGAGTTATTATTTTAAAAGTAAACAATTAGTCGACAATTTTTTGATTAATAGGTACCTTTCAATTGGTATTTATACATGTGGTGCATTATGTTACTAGTATGTAATCAACAAAGTATCAACTAAATTGATCGTGGAGGTTACAGTATTCAGTTTTTAATCGTTAGGTCCTAGGTATAAAACACTCTCCACCTACTTCATTCTGAGCAGTAAGATCGTGTGGTTAGCTTTTATACAAAAAGTGTAGCTCGATGCCAAAAACATAACCATGTACGTTTGCAGATGTTTAGTTAATGATGGACAGATAAGGCCGGCTGTTATAAATACCTGTACCTTCTTGTTGATGGTTGTAGTATTTCTCCGTACACTAGAACTGTCTTGATGTTCGTATTGAAGATTGTGATTTTGATATTGGTTGACAGTTGTTTCGAGTTTCATATGTTCTTCAATTGTAGGAATGCTGTCCTTACTTTGGCAACCCGTGCCTTCACATTTGCATTAGATCCTCTTTTTTTTATCAATAATGCTTCCAAGGTACGTGAAAGTTTTCACCTCTTCCCGAGCTTCTCCATCAAGTGTGATTGGGTTGGTGTTCTCCGTATTGTATTTAGGGATCTTGCTTTTTCTTCTGTGTATATTGAGGCCTACTGATTCAGAGACTGCTGCTACACTGGCTGTTTTTATCTGCATTTGTTCGTGTGTATGGGATAGAAAAGCCAGGTCATCTGCGAAGTTTTAATTCCTTAATTCATTCTAATCTGTTCATTCCCTCAAATGTTGAGGTCTTCTTAATCCAGTCGAACACCAGAAGAAAAGAGAAGGGGTAGAGTAGACAGTCTTGCCTGACTCCGGTCCTTACCTGGAATGAATCTGTTAGCTGTCCTCGATGCACGACTTTGCACTGTAGTCCGTCGTGTGAGTTCCGGATATTGTTGAGTCTTCTCAGGAACTCTATAGTGTCGAGGAAGTTTCCATAATGATCACCTGTCCACAATGTAAAAAGGCTTCCCATAGTTAGGGAAGTCGGTGTATAGCGACGACTTCCACGACCGGTCCTTACGGAATCCAGACTGTTGATCTCGAAGTTGGACGTCTACTGCGTCTTTCATTCGGTTCAACAAAACTCTGTTGAAAACTTTTCCTGGTACTGATAGTAGTGTGATGCCTCTATAGTTCTCACATTTACTCAGATCTCCTCTCTTTGGTATCTTGATGAGGTACTTTTCTTTCCAGTTTGTCGGTGGCACTTGTTCCTTCTACCAAATCTTCCTGAATAAAACGTGGAGCATGTTTGCAGTTACTTCTATGTTTGACTTCAATGCTTCAGCTGGTATATTGTCAGGTCCTGCTGCTTTGCCACTCTTGATTTGTCTGACTGCCATGCTGATTCCTTCGATTGTTAGTGGGGTGATATCAATAGGAAGGTCTCTGTGTGCTGCTTCGATGTCCGGTAGATACAATGCAGCTGATCTATTCAAGAGTTCCTCGAAGTATTCTACCAATCTGTTCCTCTATTCTTGAATCTCGGTGATTGTCTCACATTCTTTGTCCTTAATTGGCCTCTCTGGTTTACTGTATCTCCACGCCAGTTTCTTTGTTGTATCATACAGTTGTTTCATATTTCCTTCTCTTACAGATTTTTCCGCTGTTGTTAGTTCTTTCACGTATTTCTACTTGTTGACTTTAACGTTCTTCTTCACTTGCTTGTTTCCTTCTACGTACTCAGCTTGTGCCTTGACTTTCTCTGTTCTTGTTCGACTGTTGTTAATAGCTCTCTTTTCGTCCTTTCTTTCTTGAAACTTGTCTGGGGTTTCGATAGAGTTTTATTCTTTATGATGTTTCTTGCGGCCCAGGACCTTCTAACATGTTGAAGTTGATACCTCTTTGATCCCCTTCCTGTTGTCTCCCATAGCAGTTTCTTCTCCTTTCAGTAGATCCTGTAAGGCTTGGAACCTGTTGTTGAGAGTTATCTTGAATTCGTTGAGTTTGTTAGTGTCTTGAAGGTAGGTTGTATTGAACATTTGTAATGCTGTTCCATCAGTCTTCTGGTTCTTCTTTAGCTTCATTTTTAAATTGGTCACAACTAGTTGGTGATTTAAAGCTATATCAGCTCCTCTCCTGGTTCTCACATCGTTTATCATCCTTCGGAATTTTTTATTGGTACAAATACGATCTAACTGGTTCTCTGTGTTGTGGTCCGGTGAGATCTCTGTAGCGTTTGTGTGAGAATATTGTGCCGATAACCAATGTGTTGAATGCACATAGATTTGCAAATCTCTTCCCATTTTCGTTTCTCATCATGTTCTAACTAGACTTGTTTTATTAGTACTACTTTTATAGTTCTATTGTACCCCTCCCCCCAAACTTATATATCATATAGTTTTATGGTATTAAGCACAGACATGTTAAATGAACATAAATGCATATTCATTTTGGAATACAATATCTGATCAAGCATATAACTGTCAGATGCATTAATTCAATCCCCTTGGTTAACTTGTATTCAGTTGTCTAATTAATTCAAATAATTTATATGTGGATCTTTGCGATATTCTTTTTCATGACTGACCGTTTATCTATCTATTTGTTTATTAATCATATTGATGTGTGAGTACTTACGTTACTGAAAAATTGGCACTCTGAACAATTAGGATCTATTTCACTAAAATGCAGATTAAACCAGTCTAATACAGTCCTTGATTTATTTCACTAGAATAAAATTGATGGTTATCCCATTGCTGGTGGAATTTCTATTGTAATACAATTGCTGGAGATTCTAAGCGTCAGTGTCAGCATAAATTCAAATCAACTACGAGGTTTAATTTTTGTGTTATTCCAATTTCAGTTCAATAATTTCCAATCAGTTCTATTACACTTGAATTGTTTAATACTACTGTGCATGCTAGTTAATTCAAGTACATAAGTGTATATTCGAGAATATTTGTATCTATATATTCCCAGTCATCAAGAATAAATGTGACTAATATGGCAAGTCATAAACCTTTTACCATATCTATTGGTTACGGATCAGATAGTCAGTCAGTCAGTTAGTAACAACGTGGAACTTCGTACGTACGTACATCAGTTCGAGTTGCCATACCACATTGTCACGGAGATTCAGTTATCGATTCAAATCCCGTAGTGGTAGAGGTAGTGATAGGGAACACTAGGGTTTGATGATGTTATTTAAGGAGTATAGTCTAGTGGAACATATTTGGAAAGAAATAAAGGACATGAAAAATTCAGAAGATTAGAGTTTGAGGGTACACAGAGGATGGATGCACCTGCGCCATTGCAAACGATTTTGAGCCATGTCATTCAAGGTCTCTAACCATCGTTTGCTATCATCTCGTGGTCCCCAACCAGTTAGTCTACATCTACCAACATGGCTCAGTCCACTTGTCAGTGACTTCATGGATTTGTGCCATGTTTTGGTCTGGCCGCCCCTAGCTTTCTTACAACCTACTCATACACCAGAAAACATCGCACGTCGAGGCAGTCGGTGGTCGAGCATGCGCAACACATGTCCCAGCCATCTCAACTGATTAAGTTTCACTACTTCATCAATTGATTTGCCATCCTTACTTAGTACCCGTTTCCTAACAACTGCATTACTTACTCGGTGGTCCCAGGATATACGAACAATGTTTCGAAGACACCTATGATCAAATACTAGTAACCTACGAATATCCTCTACTCAGATAGTAAAGTACTTAACTTGTTAAGCGATGCTCAGTAACCTTTAAAAATCCCCATTGCCTTTTGCTAGGTTTTGAAGCTATCACGAGTTCACTTAATCTGCGAACGAGAACAAGACTTGGTGATCAAAGACCAGTAAGCTAGCTATTGATGCGTCCCAGCCACGCTATCTAGAAGGAGAAGTTTAAGCTTAGAATACGAAGTATATTCTGCAACGGCCAGAAAACGAGCGAACACAACAAACACAATTTAAAACGTATATATATATATATATATATATATATATATATATATATATATATCGATATTGCCATGGAGCTTCCAAACATTTAATCGATAAGTTCGTCAATCGACTATGTGCGTGGGTGGTAAGAAATGCCCACGCATACATCTGCATACAAGGTTCACAGGATAAAATTACAAACTATGAGTTTTTTAGGGTCTATCGTCCCCAACACCTTTATATTGTCATTCATGTAATCCTAGAACTTCTGATTGCTCGTATATGACTGTTCACTAAATTATAGGCCTCTGATGTAATTCGTTTTGGACAACTGTTATCAATCATAGCATGAAGATTTTCTCCAGGACACTGAAAATGTATGTTAGTGTAACAGTGTATATGATTAAGTATTTGTTTACCTAAACTTTTCTACTTTATAAATAGTGTCACTCGTAAATTTACATAAATCATATTTAAAGTATTCGTATAAAACTTACACCTGACTGACTACTTGTTAACACATATTTCAGGTAAAAAGATACGACAAAATTAAATTATCAATAAAAAATTAAATGACGTTTATCGGCTCTTTATTTCTACGACATGTGAGGAGTTTTACACCCTTATTCGAAAGTGGTTAAATTTTTA